CACGATCCTCACAGGGGTCTTTTGCAAGACGAAGCATCGCTTCCCCCCAGCTTTGCTCTGCCCCTCTTCACCTCGAAAGCTCCAGGACCTGCAGAGCAGGAGGCAGCCTGTGTGCAGCGCCAAAGAAACTGCTGCAGAACTGGGCATAACTAATTAGAGCCTCTATAAAATGACATCTATTTCCACAGATGGGAAGCTGCTCCCCCTTTTTACGGCTGCTTCAGTTAATTAGTTATCTCAGAGGTTGCATTTGCATTCACGGCTTTGTGAAATACCCTTTTGTTAACTACTCTTCATATATTTTTATGAAGTCGGCCACCGCAACAGGCTCATTTATCTCACCAGTGACAGGCTGAGAGGCTTGCCCAGAGCTGTGTGCCAGATGCTGGGATTGTAAAATAATGTTTGGCTTGTCTGGTGTTTGGAAATGAGACAGAAGGTACAGGGCTGCGAGAAGAAAGTTCCAGGCTGCTAAAGCCAAGGTCTGGATCTTGACAACTTCTACAAAAACATCCAATCTGTTGGTTTTGAGCAACTTGCAGGAGCTGGGGAGGATGTTCTTGCTGCCAGCCCTGGGCTTGAACATCTCTATCCTCCGACGGGAGCAGGGTGTGAGCATCCAACCTTCTCGAGCTTTATCTGTTGCATCCCCCTGCCCCAGCAGTGCGGGGTGCGTGCGTGTCCCCATGGGCAGGGAGGGCTGCACCGCAGTGGGGTGGTCCCCAGGAGCCCTCCCTGCCCACGGGGAGCCTGGAGACACCCCAAAGCTGCTGCTCCAGCCTAGCCTGCTCCAGCCATGCTGCGCATTCACCCTCCATTAGCAAGATCATGATCAACAGCAGCGCTAATCGATCACCGTCGCTATTGTTAGGAAATGTTTGCAAAATCAATGTTTCCTCTGTAGCATAAGCAATTAGGGCTTTTGTTGGTTGGCTGTTTTTCAGGCACGTTTCTACCATAAAGAGTGGAAAACACTGGGTAACTGCAAAGTATGATGTACCAGGTTTCTTTAATCCTGGTGGCACAGCCACCTTCTCTCCATGCAAGGCTCTGCAAATGCCCAAAACAACCCAGCACACTTCAGCATGTGCTACCATAGGGGCTGGGGGGGGAGGAACCTTCCTAGGCCACTTGCATGTGTTTAGGGACCATGTAAGATGCCCACAGGCATTACTGAAGGCAATATTTCCATTTGCTTCCCCGCTGCTCCATGCCAGCAATGCATGATTGTTGCTAAATGCCCCAAACGGGGCAGAGGAATTGGGCATGTGCTGCTGGTGGTGCTGGATTCGTGCTTTTGGCAGGTTTTGGAGCTTTATGCATTGTGGTCAGTACACTGTGGCCATGAAGCTCTATGCTGGGGGCATGTCTGGGTGGGCTTGGCTGCTCTGGGGCATTTTCCAGGGACCCCGAGGGATGTTATGTTGAAAAAAAGGGAATCCTGCTATGGGTTCAGCCATCCCTCCATTCCAGGAGAGGGTTTTTTTGGTGAGGAGAAACCATATCTTTAAACTCAAACTTTGAAAATTCAGAGCACAGCCCAATTGTTGGGGGAGGAATAAAGCCCAAAATACGTAAATCTCTCTATTTTCTGCACCACTGAGTTTGTATTGGCCTGTTAGTTGACGCTCCTGAAGGTATCCACTGGGATGCAACTATTATACATCCAAACTGTCACAAATGGAAATGTTGCTTTGAAAGACAAAGGGTAATTTATTGAGAAAAGGGTGTCATTTAGGTGGAAGGATGGAAGGAAGAGAGACAGTTGCTGCAGAGCTGCCAAAAGAGAATACCAGATCCCCTGATAGTCAGGGAACAGCTTTGAATTTCCAAGGCTGCCCTTGAGGGATAAGAAAATAAAAGCTAAGGACAAAAAAAAAAAAAAAAAAGTCTTAAATACAGTGACAGCAGAAACCTGAAGAATCACAGTGAAAAATGGGACTTTCTCCTCTGTAACAATAACCAAGAAAAAGATAGGAATGTAATTTGTAAAAGCTGTTAAATTGCCACCAAAAATTGTAAGCTGGATGGAGAAATGACATGGAAGTTAAAAAGAAACAAATGCATACCGGTCGTTCCTGGAGTATTTCTTGAAAATGGGACTAGATGATGAACAGGGCGGAGGAGAAATGGGGCTGAGGAGGGGAAGAGCTGGGAGAACCCGCTCAGCTGGACGACAGGAGCTGGTCACCGCAAAAGCTTTACCGGGGAGCCTCTGTGAGCTGTGGGAGGAAAATATTTTTGTGTGTCTCTGAAAATGCAAACCCACAGATCCATCTTGTTTGTTTGTTTCTGAATAATACATCCTCCTCTGTCTTGGAGGGAGCCTATTTATATGGAAATGGCACTAAGGCGCCAGGGACATGCAGCTTGCTCCTCTCTGACCTTGGGGCTCCGGAGGGAACTTCTTGCCAGGAAGGAGTTTGCAGAATGGGATCCCAGTGACAAACTCTGGGGGAAAATGAATTGCAACCCGCCTGGAGAAAGGCATGATGATCTCTGCAAGAGCCCCAAGGCTTGGGCTCACATGCTGCCTGTGGGGTGCAGGTGCCCGTACCAGTGGGATGGGGGACCTGTGCACAAACTGCAGGATGGGGAGGCCACGAAAGATGGGGTGTCCCCACCATCAGCAGGACATCACCCTGGGCACGTCCCCTCTGGGCCCTTCCCATCCCCACTGGCCCCTGAGCATCCTGATGAAGTCAAACGGCGCTCTGGTTATTTTAAGGCCTTTAAAAAAATGCATCCGCTGGGGAAGCAGAGTGTGTTTTGGGCACAACTCCAAAGCATTACAGCATTAAAGCCTGCAGGGTGTGGGTGCGGGATGGCTCTCAGTGCCCACCCCGCTCCTCAGCAGCACTTGCAGCATCTGGATTGACTCAAATAAGCAGAGGGTGCTGAGGCTGACATGTCTCAGTTGGGGTTCTCCCACCCCAGCAGCCAAAGCCCCTGGCAGGTCTCAACCTGCTGCAGATGAAAGTTGAGCTGAGGCTTCTTCAAGTGCAAACCAATCAGCAAAACCAACCAAGCACCATTTTCTGATGTAAAAGCATCACTATTTGGATGTAGAAGCACATTTTTAGGCATGAAGGCTGCTTCATAATGCCACTTTTTTTTTTTTTTTTTTTTTTTTTTTTTTTTTTGTGTGGTAATTGTCTAGCAAGTATTTCCCTTAAGTCCCTAAAGCTGAAACCCAGGTGCTATATGAGATGTCACCATTTGTATTAGGGAAGTCATTGAAACTAGTTCTTTCTCATATGTTTTAGCTGAAAACACGCTCCTATGCCCAAGTACAACAAAAACAGGTGCTCAGAGGGTCATCATTACCAAATTGTGATATTTCTCATGTCTGTCTCAAACACTGGGTGTGGGAATATTTCTTTTCAGCTGGAAACATCTATGAATAAGCTGCAGCCAATGAGAAAAGTAGCAGAAATTGCATTTCCAGCTCCACAATTTATCAGATCCGTGTGTGAGCACCTCTGGCCCTGATCTGTGCATGGGTGGGAAGTTTCTCCTGAAGAACAAAGCAGCACAAGACACCAGCTTTTGGGGAACAATTCAGCCTGTAGGATATAAAAAACAGGGAGGAAAATGAGGTGGGGGAATCCTTCCCAGCTGCAAACGACCCCCGTGTCCTCCTGCAGCCTTAGGGCCATGGAGCCCCACAGCTCTGCTCCATAGCTCTCTGCTTCTGACCCCCCACATCCAGTCACATCACTCTAAATCAAAAGTTGTAATAGCAAAGAAGCGTTGGATGGGTTTAAATGCAGGGAAGTAATAGCAAGGGTGTTTTTTTTCAGGGTTGAGAGGAAAGACAGGGAGGAGGGAGGGAGGAGGCGTTTCCAGATACCCCATTCCTTTAGAGAGCTCACAGGATTCAAATGGTTGGAGTGATCTTGACAGGCTAAAAACCCAATCTGCTGGAAATCATATACCTCAAATAATGTGCTATTGCTGCCAAGCGTCTGTGTATTTTAGGGCTGAATAGATACAGTATTAAATTCATCTCGAGTTCTCATTTGCCACCAACTACTGCTTGTTTGACAAGGTTTGAGTGAAGTTTGAAAGGCTTTTACTGAAAACGGTCGTAGGAGGAGTGAGATTTGATGGGTTTTCTCAAGGGCTGAGCAGCATCAGCCCGAGGCCCCCCTGGCACTGGGGGGGCTGGGGTTGTTCTGCCACACACCCCAAGCTGCTGCCTGGGAGAGAAGCCAAGGATTTTATTTAATTGAAATACTGATTAATATTACCTCTACTGTCATAATGACATTCAGGTCTCGCACTTCCCAGTGCTTCAACGACTGAACCTTCCAACAATGTTGTGAAGTGATAAAGTTCTGTTCACCTAAAAGCAAAACACGTTATTTACGGCCCTGCCCTCCCTCGGCCACAAGCTCTCGTGTCCCTAAACTCGGGGGGACGGCCCAGCTTGTCCCTCACCTGAAAGAAAGGAGGAAAAAAATCCATCTCTATGGGCAACCTCACCCCACGCGCGGCCCCTGGTGCAAGTCTTGCCCCTCGGCACCCCCCACCACCCACGTGTGCGCGGCCCCGTGCAAGGGCCAGCGCCCCGTTGCACGGCGCCTCGCGCTCGTGCCCGCACGCAGCGCACCCGCGCGGGGTTCCCCGGGCAACCGGGTGACGCGGGCTGCTGGCCGTTAACTATCGCGCGGCGCCGCCGCCCTCTGAGGCGGCTGAGGAGAGGGGTCTGTCCCCGCCGCCGCGGGAAGGAGGTGGGGGCCCTCGGCGTGAGGGCTGCGGGCAGGGGGAGGTCGTGCTGACGTTAAAAATCGGTAATAAGGGAAATTTTAATTTGTGGCGAAACCCTTCAGAGGGAGGTGCTCCGGTTCTGTGTGTTTCCCGGGAGAGTGGTTAGGTTCTAGGTGTGCTGGCCCCTCAGGTTTTATTTCTGTGGTTTGAGGGGCTGCTGAGGGGAATGAGACCTCATGTAGTGTTAGTCAGCAGCCAGTTCTTCTGCTGGGCTTCCTTTTAGAAAATTAAAAAGACTTGCTTCAGAGTTCAGGCAGCAGGTGTGTGTTTTTGTGACTGGGCAGCTGGAGCTTGTAATAATTTAGGGAGTAGTTATGCTGAGATTCCTATTCTGGAACAATGCCAGTACCAGAGGCATCTAAAAACCACAGAGTTGAGGCACCTGTGGTACCAAATGCACATATGAGCAGCAGACTCAAGGTACCTGTGGTACCAGGTCCACCTAAGAATGGCAGAATCAAGGTGCTGGCAGCCACCAAAGTGTTGAATCCTCGAGATTTTGTGTGCATTCAGGCTTTGCCTGGCTTTGCTCAGAAAGAAGGAAAGGTCTTGGCCAGAAGCAGAACAATTTACAAAAGCAGTGAACCTCCAAGAGAACAAGTGTTCTGGGAAACTTACCATAGGAGGCAAAAGCAATTCACTCAGGGACACTTCACCCCCATTGGGAAGCCTTATCAGGAGATTGGAGAGATTATCTACACAGACCCGAAGAAACTCACCCTCTACTCTTTGGGGCAGCTTGCACAGGTAGGCCTGACTTTCCTGGTTCAGCTTTAAATAGAAAAGTGAGGAGGCTTTTCTTATAAGTAAGTTGTAAGCTCCTGTTTTCAGGGAAGAGAATTGTTATTTCTGTTTAAAGAATGTTTGAAACAATATTCCATGCCTTCTCGTGAATAATTACAATCTGATATAATATTTGATGATGGTACAGAACACTTGTTAATAAAGTGGGACTGCTTTGATGTATGTACTGTGATTTGGGAATTGGCTTTTGAAACTGATCTTTAAAGTTCCTAATGAGAGCACTTAAAATGGAGCAGAGACAATAGCAGGCTAATAAATGAAAAGGAAAACGTGAGATGATGAGAATGTGCTTAAGGGAAAATACTTAGGGAAAGGTAAGAAGTCTTGAAAATGGAAGGAGAGGAACCACACTTAGGGTATGTGAGTAAAGGATAGGTTAAAAAGCAGGAATGATAAATGGTGTCAGTTGGGGGGTGGATAAAAAGCTCAAAAGTTCAGCATTGGAATGGTTTAAAAAATAAAGTGTTTGCAGTACAATTTAGATAAGCAGGGCTTTGGAGGAAGCAGATTACTTATTTGGTATTTTATTTTGCATCTGTATTGGGATTTCAGGAAGGTTTACAGGGAGTAGCCAGCAGCAGTGTCTGTGACAGTATGGTTGTTTGTGTGGTTGTTATTTCCTGGTCTCCTTAGTGCTGCATACCCACTAACTTCGTGGATCTTAAACTGTCTCAAGTTGCTTTTAAGTCAAGCTTGAATCATTAAACCTCAGGGACAAGAACTCTGTCACTGATGCTTAAAATGAGCTTACAGTGTTCTGCCTTTCGTTTCCTTTTCCTCAGTGCTGTTGGCTCACACAAGGAGACCTGAAGCTCTCAGTTTTCTGTGTTGTTTTGTGCAGAGAGCAATTTTCCTTGTGGAAGCAGAGTGCAGTCTCTCCAGTCTATCTGTAACATCAGTCTCTGTGACTTTGAGCCTACACTTTGCTATGTGCTTTCTAACAGAGTGCCCAAGGGATAGTCTCTGACAGCTGCCACAGAAGCAGTGTGGTTATTATTCAGGGTAGGCAGGAAAGATTCTGTCCACCCACTATTTAATTTTCTGCTCTGGTTGTGTGTGTTGCATTCAGAGCTTAAAGTTTTAGATTAAGTGCTTTAAGCTCTAGATAGACAATGGGTGGCATTCACTTTATTTTTACATACTACCTAAAGCAGCTTCTTGCTGGCTGTCTTCATTCAGAGGCTTGTTTCTGCAAATTAGTCAACATCCAGCAAGTGTTGCCAGTGTTTTTGTTTTAACCCTTAACTTCTAAAACATCTTTCTTTCTGAATATTAGAAGTTGGTTTAAAGATTTTTTTTTCAACTGCAGGTATACTCTCTAAAATTCTGATAATCCTGAAAATGTTGGTTAATTTGTGGTGGTGGTGGTTGTTTTAAAAAAATGTCAGGATTTGATCATTAAGGGTGCTCTGAAACCCATTTGGAACTCAGCTACTTAACTTGACCAAATTAAATGTATACAATTTATACAGAAAATAAACTGTATGTAGGTCACTAAATGTGTGGTTGTGGCTTATGCTTTAGATTCATGAAGCTGTTGGAGGGGATGTAGTCATACCTGCTGTTCCTATTTAGGGAGAGCATGGCTAAAAGCACTGCACAGTCCTGAAAATCTCAGACTATTTTTTTTTTCCTTTTCCCAAAAGGTAATGGGTACTAAGTTGAAAAATTAAAAAACAAACAAACAAAAAAACCCCAAACAACAACAAAAAACAAGCCAAAACACAACAAAAAACTAAAAAAACAACACCAAACCCAAAACAAAACCTAAAAAAAAAAAATTCCTGCCAATGATTCTGATCTGTCCTCTGCTTCCCTCCATCCCTACAAACTGGAGAGGGCTCAAGGATTTAATGCTGTTCACACACCAGCTCTCACTATTTAAGCTGCTAGTGTGCTCTGAAGAAATCTATTTGTGTGTTTTTCAAAGATACTAGAACAGAAATGTATTTCTGTAGACTAAAAATGCTTTGTATTACCTGTATTTTTTGTTTTATATGTGTTATTTATGCCATTCCCACCCACACCTAGCAGTCCCCATAATATTTTGAATAACTGAGAAGATTGTAGATACTGGATATGTCTAATTATAGGTGTCTGAGAGCATAACATTCCCGGTAGTAAAAATCATGCTATCTGATTAATGCATTTGCACTCATCTCTGCCTTCTGAGTTAGCGTTTTCTTCAGCTACAAGTACAGCTGATGATTTGCAATGATGAATGACAGTAAAATTTGTAAACAAGAAGATGATGATTAAAAGCCCTGTGAATTCAACGGGACTTGAGTATGCTAATATCTGCTGGCAAATGCTACTTTCTAAACTGGTATTATTTTAAAAAATAGATTTTTAAGAGCTAAAAACACTTAAGTATGCTGGAATGGTTATACAAAATTACATAGGCATAGGATATTATATCTAATAATTGTGCATTTAGGATGCTTTTTTAGATACTTGATGGCAACAAATGTGTTTAGAAAAGCTGTATGTTCATGGATGCTTTTTCTATCTTTATTAAGAGAATTTAGTATCTGATATTTGACTGCTCTTACTGTTGCACTGGAAGCTGCTGTTCTGTAGTCACACAGAGAATGTGGTACCTGTCTTACGGTGGAAACACTAATTAAAGCTGGGCTGATGCAGTGGAAGAATTGCCTTCCACTGCAACTCACTGGAACAAAAGAAACCCCTTCCAAACTACTAGCAATACTCATGAGGGATGGGGGAAGCTCAGGAATTGTGGCATTTGTGTTTAAAAAAACCCACCAGACAACACCACCCCCTGTATAGTGTAGTCCTTCCCACCCCCCAAACCCAAAAAAACAAACAAAACCAGAACAAAACAACAAAAACCAAAACCCGCAACAAGGAGGCTTCTTTTTACCCATCCTGTACAGCATTATCGAAGCATAACTGCGTGGCCAGTTTTCACAATGATGTGGATTTTGTGGCTTTATATTGCCAGTTATCCCTACTTTTAGACCCAGCAGTGTCTCAGTGTTTTCAGATGTGCTTCATATGTGGTGGCTTTTTACATGTGATATCTGCTCCCTGCCATTATCTTTACTAGAAGAATCCTGGTAAGCTGAACAGGCCATATACTTTAACCAGAGCAGCTACACCAAGCATCTTCCCAGTGGATTTCTGGTTCTTGCCTTTTCAAAATTTGCTGGGGAGTGGGGGAGGAGACTCGCTGTAGGGCTGACTGGTTCTGCGTTGTGTTAATATCAGCCCATGCCCATACCGTGAGATAGAGCCATTTGAGCTTCCATTACAAATAATCAGAAGTTACTTTGTTCAGTTTGAGATTTTTTTTTTTCCCCTCTCAAGGATTGGGTGTGCACTGCAGACAGCACTGATTCATTGAAAGTCAAAGAATGTAGCTATCCAGACAGTATTTTTTATTTCCTAAGTGTTCAGAGCAATGTGTTAAAGGGCTCTTTCTTATTCTTTAATGTAATGGTGCATGGTGATGTTAGTCACCTTTTACCATGTTTATATATCTTCTTTCCTTTAATTGCTATGACAAATTCATTTGCAAAACCTCTGAGGTGACTTGTTGACTTTTTACATGAAAGAAAGGTAGCATTTCTGACCAAGCCCTAAAAACAATCCCAAGTCTACAAAATCTTGAGTATTATTAGTGTCAACGCCTGCTCTGTACTTGTCATAAAATTCTGTTCTGTAGTTCTGTGCTTTGGGTAAATAGGTCACTAGATAAGATTGACAACAGCATCAGCAGTGAAAGGTTTTAAGCTAGAAACTGGAGAAGAAAACAGAGCAATTTATTTCAAGAGAAATTACACTGATGTTATTTGGTATTGCTGCAGTTAAGGATCTGTCAGGGTTTCCAATTTAAAACCTTGCTTTCCAGAAGACTAGAAACATGTATTTCAAGGCAGAACTTGCAATGCAAAGAACCTTTTTCCTGCCAGCTCTGATGTGAAGGTCAATCATAATTCCTTATCGCTCTGGGACGAGCAGGAAAACATTAGTGGTAGGTTGTCTTCCTAGTCTCTCCAAAATGGAGAAACTGGTCAGGCCAGACTACACTGGTGTGGTGACATTCCTAGTGCTTTCTGAATTGAGTGACCAGTATATGGTTATTGATCTCATATGGTCTGGCCTCACACCTGCATCGAAGAAGTGCTATGCCTGAATAATTTTTTAAAAAGATGAACAACTTTATTATAGATTCAGAAGAAGGTTCAGAAATACCTTGAAACTTCCTGTTTGAAGAATGTGAAATTTCAACAAAATACTAGTGAGAAAGAGGATAGCACAATATTTCTTTCAGTTCACTAAACTGGTTTTGAAAGCAAAAAGCTATAAAATTCTAATACTTTCTGTAGTATTTTTTTCCGTGTTAGTTATATGAGGCAGAATGTAAGGGTGAATTATCACTGGGATAGCTGTTATTCAGAAGTTCCAAAACATTGATAGAGATGTTCAGATTCAGGTATCTCTTGAGATATTTTGTTAGATTGTTGGCTGCTGAAACTAGACCCTTCCACATCTTTCCACTGCTGGCTAGAGGTGGTCTCAAAGTCTTTGTTGGTAAACACTTGAGTATCTCTTTAACAATTAAAAAAATGCATTTTGATAGCACGAAAGTGGGAATTTTGAGATGTGCTTTGTTTGCAAGGGTTAATTCATATTTGAATTAAGCATTTGGGGTTTTTTTTTCCTGCTTGTCCTATTTTTCCAGGCTCATCATGTCATGACAGTCTGTCAGCTCAGGAATTACAGTTTTTATATGGGCTGGTGTTTTGGGCAGAATAAAGGGAACAAGCAAGAGGCAGGGAGGGTACAGAAGAGATTGCAGCAGTGAGAGTCTTGCTTTCAGCTTTCTGAGTGATCCAAATTTATCTGGTTTGTCCTTGTGCATTTCTGATGAAAAATTGTGAATGAAGATGAGAAATACAACATTATTCCCAAGTTCT